GAAGATAATTGCACCTGGCTGCGAGGGAAGTTAATTGCAACTTGATGTCATACAATTGAGATGCTGAGAGTTGAACGCAGTGTTTGATTTGTTTGACCTATTTGTTTTTTGTGGATAATCATGGGTAATCCTTGAAGTTCGATGGATGCTTGATATATCTAAGAGTTTCTGGTGCTAGATTTTGCAGTTATCCTCCTTTTAACATGAGATGTTCCAAGTGAAATTCCCAATGTCCCACACACCGAAGTCCACACCATCCACAACGAAGCTGTGACAGTGCTGACCCAGCTGGGTACCACAATGTCCAATTTATATGGTTCTTTCATATGGAACATATGAGAAAATCAGGGAAAATGATGCTAAACCATTGGATTTAGGGCTCCAGCTCGCCCAATCCTGTATGCCATGCTGTTTTGGCCTAGTCATCAATCACTGATTGCTGGCCAACTAGTCAATTTTCTGGTGCTTCGGTACGAGTTAGTGATGTGACCCGACACCAATCATATGATACTTCGCATGTATCATATATCTGTTTTTTATGATCATCCTTAAAGTCAATGGGAATTCCAGGATCCTAAATTGGAGGTACGTTGGTACCATATTGTTGGCCATATTTTGTGGGGATATTCCCTGAACCATAGGCCTGAAAAATAGGCCTAAAATATATGGAATCGGTACCTCCAATCAATCGGATCCTGGAATGGCCATTGATGAAGTGATTGAGTTTCCTAAACTTCCATGGGGTACTGAGAAACACCTCCGTACCGCACGGAATGAACCGTTGGAAGCGGATCATTCCGCGGCCGCGGCTCAACTTCGGGTCTTTCGGGGCGGGTTTTCCGCGACCTGAAATCTCAGTGGATGGCGGTTTCAAAGACAAGGTGCCAAACTTAAAGGATCATCTCACTTCCTGAATAATCATGGTTATGATATGTAATGATATGTTATAATCCATTGATATTGCTTAAGTGAGATGATCCTACCAGTGCTTCCACTTCTTGTCCAACAAACTCCTAGCTCGGCCACTTCTTGTCCATCACTTGTGGAATTTCCCACGGGTTCCACGGGTTCCACCTCGTCAAAGACTGCCATGTTTCAACCCAAAGAAGTGCGCCATGGATCAGCCGACCCAAAAAGAATCTAAGCACCTAGAGTTACGCCTCATCTTTTCGCCGCGATCGTTTTCGCCGGGTGGGACTGGAGGCCGGAAGTTGCTGACCATTTGGGGCAGAACTCGTGGGTAGACACCTACAAACAAACAGCTGGGTTGAAACCACCAGAACTTGATTTGGCATGTCTCTTCAGCAGAGCCAGCTCATTGGTTTCGTTAATTTTCATTGGTGGTTTCAATTTTTGTTGGGTAAAATGTGTTGTTTTCGTGAATCAACTTGGGTTTCGTTCATACTGATCATGCTCCACCGGCAGACAGAGCATTTGCTTTTATTCTGTTTGTTGATGATGATTTTGCATCCATTTTGGTGGGTTACATGCCATTTTGATTTGCTTGCACCCCTCTTGTTCACGTTTTTATATCCGCGTTGATTGGCTTAATACTTGACAATGGGTTTTCATGGTTTTAGTCCCAAGTTCTTGAGGAATTCGATCCCTTTTTAAAACGTTTTTTTACTACCCCAAAAAGCATTCGAGCGCAGGGTATGACGTCCTTGGCCCCAGTGTTGCTGCTGGCGGCTTCCGCGGCGGAAGGCCGGAGAAAAAATGGGCGACCAGCGATGGCAAGGGAGATTTCACCACCGAATCAGGCCCCTTGGTTGGACATGTTTTGAAAAACAGCTCTGGAATAAAGTAGGTTTGATTTCCGATGTTCCATATGATATTCCCATGGAAATATCATGACATATCCATACATATCCCATGACTCTTGTTTGATTTGAAAGGATTTGAAAATCTTGGCTTTCATATAGGAACCCAAAGATATATTCATGAAATTCATCAATTAGGCCCGTTGGTTGATGCATACCTTTTCGAAAGGACATGGGCAGCCATGGACGATGTAGGGATGCTGGCAACATGACGCTTGCAGAGATGATAGACTCTGATTGATTCTAGTGAGACTTATGATGACTGTTTGGTAAATCCTCTATAAATGCTCTATTTTCCCAAATCATAGCAATGTAAGAATTACCGGAGGGTAATTACTGATTTTCCAATGTTTTTGGTTGGAGATTTACCATGACTTACCCATCCGTGGCTGTGGCATCTAGTGGCATACACTATTCCAAAGATGGAATCATCATGTATCACATTGCATCACTCGCTTGATTATGAGCAACCTACAGGAAACATCAGGAAACCACGGTTTGCACACATGTCTTCATGCTTTCAAAGATGCAATAGGCAGTAGACTTTATGGTGGACTTTGTTCAAAACACTTTCATTAAGCTTTATTCAAACAACGCATCGCCGCTGCAGGAGCGAATACTACAGAGCTGTCCGACCCTCAGATGTTCTCGAATGACAATCCAGGAACTGAAACCACACGTGGAGAAACAAAATATGACCGTGCCTACTTTTGCAGTGAGCAGGGTTTATGGGGTTTATGAACTTCAAAAGATTTAAACAGTATCACTATAAGCATGAGGGCGTCATTTTCCCATTGGTGGGTGTGTTTATCACACAAGTCGCATGAACCATGAAATGGGACTCACGTCTAGGTGAGATGCTCCGACATTCTCTGATTGATACAGCCGTACAGAGTTCGTATTCAGAAAGATTGGATGCAAAACAATCGATTGGATCATGGTGTGCTTTGAATGGAATTTTTATTGGGAAAGCTCCATTGCAAAACCCATGGAAAAACGATGGAAAAATCTGGGTTCGCCCCATCTCCCCATCTAAAAACCGAGATGGAGCTTTTCCAGCCTGCTACCAGGCAGCGGCTCGAAGGGGTTATTGAGCACTTGAAGCGGAAAGAGCATCAGGCGCTTCTCGAAAGAGCTAGCGGAAGAGAGATACAAACACACACACACATATATATATATATACATATACATATATATATATACATATATACATATTTATATAAACATAATACAATAGAAATACAATAGAATGATATACAGTATATCAACTGAGGAAATCTGATTCATCAATCATATTCAAATATATGATCATTTTAACCGGAGAATGATCCCCATCATATTTTCTTTTCCCGGTTGAAAGCACCAACCAGCAACATGTTCTCTTACCATAATATCCCCATGATGTAGCCATTAAACAACCCTGAGTTTCATGATAAACCTGGTGCCCCGCGGTGGTCAAACGTGGCAATGGATTCTTGATTGCCATCTTTGACTACCAGAGTAAACCATCCGGGAAATTCACATATAGCAACACAAAAAAAAGATAGAACAGTAAAATCATGCTACTAACAATTACTAAAATACAATAATGGCAAATTACTTATTCGATCTTTTTCGGGGCTTGCTAGATATTGAAACTCATGAGTTGTCATAGGAAAATGACACCGCAAATGGTGGTCTTTTCCACTGGAGGATGTGTACAAGATGAGGTTTCAGTTAGATTTGTTGGTTTACAAAGCCCATGAACTAGTTCGTTCATGTTCGTTATAAGTTACCCTCTGGTAAACTAACATAACAATGGAACATCATCATTTTTAATGGGTAAATCAACTATTTCTATGGCCATTTTCAATAGCCATGTTAGTTTACCGGAGGGTGTATCCCCCTAGTTAGCCAAGTTATTTTCGCCACATCGCAGGTTAGCGGAAGAATTTCGGGCACTGGATGTTTCTAGGAGTTTTCAACGAAGTTTTTTATGTAACTGCCCAGAAGCCCTAGAAGGTACCAATGAAAATTGGCAGAGGTGCCCACATTTTGATGTAAGGAGTGCAATGTGATCCCATAAAGAATGAGGATTTTATCATGGGGATTTTGCTGGGACAAATGGTGATCTATTGGGGATACAATGGCTACTTATAACCAATGATTTGCTGGTAGTTGGTGGTTTGAAATATGGCTAAGTTTCTAGCCTCCCTGGGGTGATGATCCAAACTAATATGTTCGGGTTGTACCGCCCAACCAGTCTTTTTGGTACTGCAAGGTGGTGAAACTTCCCCAGAAGGATATAGTATGCGTGCGACTTGAAGTTCCAACTGCTGCATTTGAAGATCCAGAGGAATGCTTCCAGTAAGCATACCCTGTAGTAATCTATCCTGGCTGGCTGCAATTTTCCCATTTTCTGCATTGTCACCAATGAACGAAGATTTCTGGGTGGTGGTGTCAGGGAAGACGATCCCACATGGGGAATAGCTATTCCTGCCATGGGTTCAAACCCAGTAGCGGATTCCCCGTGGCAAGGGGGCACAACTTTTTGTGCCACTGATTTCCTGCTAATTATATCAGCTTCCCTTAGGCTCTCAGCCATAGTTCCGGCAATGCTGGGTACTTAACGGCCAGATGTGCTCTTTTGCCTGCTTCTCGCCGCACCAGCTGAACCTAGCTTAGCACTTTATCATGAGTCATCTACGGAAGCAGGTCCCAAGGGTACGAAAGCAATGCGGTGAGGATGGGTTAAACCCTATGATGACATGGGTTAAGCAGGTGAACACCCATTGATATCAACAACTTCGATGTTCATCAGCATACCTGGATGATATTAGCTGAACATCTGATTGAAATTTTCATGCTTCACTTCCTGAGATGTAGAGATTCAACTCCCAAACCTTGCCTGCGTACAGTATGTTGAGCTCCGACTTGGCACCATGTTTGTTCATATATTTTTGTAAGCGCCTGGTGCTTCTGCATATGATTCTCCGATGTTGCCCGACCAGATAATCCCCAAACTCCCAGAATCGAAGGGAAAATCTGAAGGATCCTCTATTCAGCAGTTAAAAGCTTTAAAAGCGATGGTTTCCGGAGTTTCCGGTTAGACATTTCCGTTCACCCAAACCCTGAGTGCCTTAGTGAAAACCTGAGTTTTCCAAAGTTTCACCGCTGCGGCATTCGACGACCACTGGGGCCATGGAGGCGACGAGGATTCTGATCATTGGGCAGAAGGATGCCATGAGCCTTGGCGCAGGGCATCGCAGGGCGGCTTCGAAGCAGGTTTTGGTTTTGAATAAAAGCACACTGGGTATAGCGTAGAAGGATGATTTAAGACCTCAAGTCAAGTATATTTCAACATAACTATACTAAGTATTGTGTATATATAATGTGTGTTAATTATACACTGGATAATTACTATGAAATAGGCGTTTTCGGAACTTTTAACTGCTAATCTGTTTGCCGCCAGCTGAAATAGCATGGTCTAGGACCCATCTGTTTTTTTTCACCGATTCGATCGAGGGTTTCCATAGGTTTCCTCTTCAACATTGCCATTTTACGATTGAATAATGATATCTGATAATGGTAAAACACTGTAGAACACTGTAAAACACTGAATTTATAGACCATACCCTCCTGTTTCGCAAAAAGCGATGCGGAAAACCCAGCATCTTTAAGTAGTTGAATGATGTTGAATGTAGTTTCTTTAGCCCAAAAGGAGGGTTTTTCATTTGGTATCATCCATGTATCCAAGTAGAAACACTTTCTTCACCTAACCATGTGGTTGGAAAACTCCTAGCTCATTGGGTAGCTCCGACAGAAAAGTTCGATAGCCGGACCCTGAGCTCCCGACATCGTCATCATCAATGGGAGATCTTCAGGACCCTAAAATGGAGGTACGTTAGTACCATATTGTTGGCCATATTTTGTGGTGATATTCCCTTACATGAGCCTAAAAAATAGGCCTTACATTAATGGTAGGTACCTCCAATAAATCGGTTCCTGGAATGGCCATTGACTATGGTAAATCTCTCAACTTGATACCTCCCCAATTGATATATACACTATATATATATGGTAGGATCGTTGAGGATCTTCTCTCTCTACCAATTGGCAGAGCTGCGACGACATCAAGCCATGGAGGCGGAATTGGGTGTCGGAAAGGTTGGAAAGCCGTGAATGAAACGGTGGCCTGGCTGGGATTTTATGATGGTTTCATGGGATTTTATAGGGATTTGATGGGATTTTATAGTGATTTTCTTCGGATTTTATAGTGATTTTATGGGATTTAATGGTGACTTAATGGGATTTACTGGTTTAAATGGAGGTTTAAAGTTGATATGATAATCGAATATACACTGGTTGATTGGTGAATATTGCGGCTTCTACTGCCTAATTTATTCAGGAGATTGACAACCCATAACTGAGGAAATCTATCAACCAACTAGGATAATGAGTCGGGATCGGGCTGGGTTGAATGGCTCAATTTGGTTTAAGTATGAACATGGGATTCCATCAGCAACAATTGGTAAATATCAGATGCTGTCAATCTTTTAAACTTTTATTAAGTATCCAACTGGATTTATTCAGGATGATCCCGCATGCCGAATATTTTTCAGGGTGGTTGGAACTACCAACCAGACAACAACATACAAACATACAAATCTTAACAAGTAGCATAAATAGCAATTTTTCTTGCAATGTTCTCATACGTCTGAGATCCGGCAATGATTTATGTCACTAAAGATATTTGTCAAACATTTTCGAGGAGTAGTTGCAAGCTTTGGCATATGCCCAGTAGTGAAACTACTCATTTCGTCAACATCATCAGAGCCTGCCACAGGTCGTAGTCTTGACACCGGATGAGAACCCCACCGTACCGCCCAGTGCGGATGTGGCTGCCATTTGCGAATCCCTGGGCTATGAACACCGCGTGGCAAGAAGCGACTCCGACGAGGGGTTCAGCAGGGCTTCATGAACCATAACGGGAGATGTGCCCTCGTAAACTAACAGTTGGACCCTGAAAATAACCCTTTTTTAGTGGAATCTAGTCTTCCAACCCCGAAAAATGGCAGGGTCTAGGTTAATATACTGGAGGGTACTGTGCTGTAATTGTGAATAATTGGTTCGTACTGGATATTTAATGGATATTCAAGGATATCTAATGAATCTAATGGTTAATAATATAATGTTCATAATGGCTAGTTAACTCAAATACAGTAGCTGTGGAAAACACATAGGGAAACCTCTTCCCACGATGATCTACATCATGGACATTGGACTCATGGAGGTCTTTATGGGTACAAACTAGTGATTTTCATGGGGCAGAATGGGGAATAAGGGAACAATGATCAACATCTTGGGATTTTTACTCGATTTATCCGTGAAAGGTCAGGTTTTTTACATGGTATGGCCGCTAAGCCAAGCATGGAACTGTGGAACTAGTGGGGAACATTTACAAATTGGCTCCTGAGTTGATTTCAGAAATATCATCCAAGAATTGAAATTGGAGTGGGTTTTCACCAATATTTTTACACTTTATACCATGGATATCAATGAAATATAAACCAGGTAGCCCTTGGATGGATAGTTTAACCATGTTTAACACTTCAATCTGCAAATGGGGATGTATCTTAGGCAGCTACTTCTTTTTTTGATGTGCAGAGTATTTGTGATTTGCACTTTGGTGTTCTTGAGAGGCTTTACTTAAAAGTCATGCAACATATATTTGCGACAGGCTTTGCAACAGTGTACCCCGTTCAAAGATGAAGCATCTTGTGTTGAAGATAACATCACGGACCGACCTCGAAGGCCTGATTTTTTTGACCCATGCATATACATTTTCTTATACATGTTTCAAATATTGAATGATTTGCCTGTTTTTTTTTGGAGAACAGATTTGTATCTGTTCAAAAGCATATTGTTTGACTATGTTTGACTCGACCCGTCTGTTTTTTGCTTGACAGTAAACTTTACTGGTTGGTGGTTTGGAATATTTTTTTCCATATGTTGGGAATAATAATCCCAACTGACTTTCATATTTTTCAGAGGGGTAGGTATACCACCAACCAGTTTACCGCGTCATTTGTTTGGAAACACATCATGAACTTCAGCCCCTCCCACCAGTTGAGGCAACAGCATCCTGCTTGAGGCCGTACAAAGCTTCTTGGCACGGGCTCGGGTGTATTTTTCGAGGCCCTGATCCGTTGCAACTGGGGCTGAGGTATTGATGCGTCTCCAGTAATCACGGAAGGAAAGCTGCTTTCTGAGCGCAGCGGGCTGATTTGCACTTGGGCCAAGCATTATATATATATGTATATTTATTTAAACAAATATTATATACACTATATATATATTATTGTTAATTATTGGTATTATATATATATATTGGTTATATATATTGGTTGATCCATATGGGAGTGCCACCCCCAAAATATACACCATAAAATGGTGGCTTTATTTCCTCAAACGAGCACAAGACCTGAAACATAGATATCCCATAGATATTTATGATCAGTATATATCAGTATATTCCAACTAAAATCACATATCCATATGGTATCCCCAACATAACATAGCCCAGAAAATTCCATTCATGTCGCATGAAATCACCCTAGCATCACTATAATACTGTGGATGGTTGCGAAATCCTGCACCACCAAAAGGATGGTTGAAACCCTCTAAATAATGGGATGCTTACCATCTATCAATTGGTGCAGGATTTCGCAACCATCCACAGTATGGTCCTTTTCTTCCACCCTAAACAAACTCCAGCATCATTCAAAGTGAAGAAGATCTGCAAGTCAAACCTCGAAAAACTATGGTTACATATGGTTACACTATCATTTTTCATCCATTTTTTTTTAAATGACTTACTGGTGCGAAACTTACTTACGTAGGGTGGCTGGATGGGTTGCTGGGGGTGGGATGATTGATAGATATTGATAGTTCGCCAGTGGATCAATTGATCGTTAGCCTATGGATATTCATTGATGGTGGATCTTTCCCGAAAATTCGTCCAGTGAAACGTCCCAGGTTTGCGACCTCAGCTGCTGGCCTCCATCCTTTGGCCTCGAAGGGTCCCAACTGAGGTTTTGGATCTCTGCCCGGAGCCGTGGCGTACCGGGGAATCCCTGGGAAGCCGTTGAGTTTACCCATTTTCGCTGGGAAACATGGTGGGAACAGATCGTTTTTTTCTGAAAACTAATGGTCTCCAGTTTTTTTTTGGGGAACATTGGGATCTGTAAGTATATGGATGGGGTTAACAATCTCATTGCACTTTTTGGGCGGTTGGTGGGGTCGCAGCTATCTGCCCACTTGCATGGTCTTTTCAATTGTACTGCAAGTGGGTAAAGCATGACCTATGTATACCCATGTCATATCTGGAACAGCCTCAACTATACCTTGTGATTGACTACAATGATGGCCCTTTTCATCAGACTTTTTGGATCTAAGACGTTGGTTGGATTTTTTTGGGGGCCCAACTTACTAATTGAAGAGGATTGCCATTCAAAAAAGTGTTAATTTTCCGTGAGCACGCAAAGGGTGTCCGAACAAACAGCCCCTAGCCATGTTTGATGGTTCCACCGGTTCCCCAAGGTAGGTGTGCATTGCTGCTGAACAGTTTTCATGGTTTTAAACCCTGGTGTTGGTGCTCAAACCCTGAGGTGCTAATATCATTTGGGTAAATTTCATCACGACCTCACTGTTCTCCCTCACTGGGCATCATGGTTTATGTTAGGGGAATCATCCCCAAATGGCCGAACTATTCAGGTTAGTGAAATATAATAATTTACCCAGATTAATGGAGATACCAGTATCATGGCACCACATCCCCATTTAGGGTTCCAAAATCTTCTGGGAATCCGCTTCTATGCCATGATCTGTCCATCTTTGGGTTGACCGTCCCTCATCCACCTCCCAACCCCAGCTCCAATGAACTACCCACTTTTCTTGGTCCGTTCAAAATCCCACACTGTTCAAAAGCTAAACTCGATTTCTTGGATCATATGAAACCAGCTTGCATATCATGGTATTTCCCGGCTACCATCTGAGACTCTAACATCAATGGCTCAAAATTCCCAAGAACTTGCTCTCGTATCTATCTAACATGAATCTAACTTGGGTCATACCTGGCTTATATCTACCGTCCATCTCTGTCCAACTTCACTAACAAACATATAACTAAATCAGCTAAATCATGTATATATATATATATGTATATATATATATGTAAATTAATTTAAAAAATCACTAAATCAATAAATAAATAAATAAATAGATAAAAAAAATATATATACCAACTCCAAATCCCCAATGTGTCCTTCACCATGTTCACCTCAATGGCGAGGTGGCCATCGATTCCGCTCAGGAGGCCATCAACTTCCACCCCTCGCTGCTGCCGAAGCATCGGGGCTCGCTGACGCAGTTCTGGGCCATCTTCGAGGCCGACGCGACAGCGGGCACCACCTGCCACCGTGCGCCCGTTCGGACCGGTGCTGGGGGTGGGGGGGAGACTAGGCATTGGGAGAGCTGGGTGAGAACTCACTTGGAAGTTACGTTGGGATATGTTGGGATATCAGCCCTAGAACTATGGTTGGATAGAGTCATAAAAATTAGCGGAACTGCATCCGCAAGCAGGGTTTTTGGGGACGAAGAAGTGAGATTAAAGTGAGAATAGTGGGGGGAAAGAGTGTAGTATAGGCATGGATGGTATGGAAAGTTGATGACAGTTGGGGGTTCTAAATTGACATGAATGGAACAAATAAACGGCTCAATGGATCTTCATGGATCGTTTGGCATGTTTGGGGAAGTTGGAAGTTGGAGGATCATCCACATTCTTTGGGGTTGTCATGAAGAAAATTGGGCGCAAGGGACTGGATTCGATGAAATCTCCCAAACTCTTCGGTTTTTGGATGTTTTTGGGGTGGTTGGGATGGGGGAAATTGGGGTTGGGGAGCCATTGCACTTCGTGGCGCAGTTATCATGAGTTATCTACCAGGATAGGGGTAGCTGAAGCGACTAGCGGAGGTATGGTCTTGGAGTTCGACGCTGGGAAGCTTGGGCGTTTCCACTGCCGGATCATCCCGCAGCTCCTGGTTAGTAACCATCACCCATAGTTCACCCATGGGGCCACAAGAATGGGGCACTTGAACTCACAACATTCACCACGATCCGTAAAATGATCCCTCCAGAGGCAGCCATGAAATTTTCCGCATCCTGAAGATTCCACACCGGCTTCCAAAATCCCTCACGCCATTGTGACATATTTTGACATGTTCGAGACCTGAAAGGACCATGGCATAACTCATAACCATTGCATGAAGTCAGTTTCTTTTGGGTTTCAAGCTCTGAGCCCAACCATCGACCAATGAGGAAGATTTTGCACAAAGAAGAAGTCGAATTGACCTTAGATACTTGGACACTTTCAGCAGGGATCCTTCTTGATCCTTTTCAAATTCGGGCAGGTTTAAACATCCCTTTTTGTGGCGGTGAATCAGTTGTCAAACCAGAAACAGCATGAGCTATGAGTAAAAACCTTTGGGACCCTGGGCACCCCAACATAGCTGCTGGAACCGTGATGATCCAATTGCTGGCCTCTGACCCGACGACTGGAGATCCAACAAATTGATTACGGTGCCATGATGCTCCCTATTGTCATTTGTTTTTAGTCTTACTCAAATCACTTTTTCCTTCTTGAGCAACTTCGATCAAGTTGTTAGCAATATGATTGAAGCAATATGATTGAACATAATCCCAACCATTTGGTGTCAGCCAGTTTGTTGAACAAGGACGAGACCGCCTTGTCATTGAGCCACAAGATTGCGATCACCACGGAGAAGTGCTTCAGGTGGACCATGGCATCATGGAGGGGTGGATTCCAGGGAAGTCCATGGGTCTTTGCAGACCTAGGGTTGGCATGTTTACCCTCTGGTAATGACTAACATAGCTATTGAAAATGGTCATTTATAGTTGATTTTCCCATTAGAAATGGTGATTTTCCATAGCTACGTTAGTTTACCAGGCCGGGTATATCCTGCTGACTCACTCCGGCAACGTCCGATGTTCCACTGAAGCGGCAAAGTCACTGCGCGAATCTTAGGTACCCTCCGGTCATTTCACATAGCAATGGATAATAACCCATAATAATAGAGGATCTTTGTGGCTAGAAACCTCCATTTCGTTGAAAGAGTTTGTTTACCATGTTTGATTGCCAGAGGGTAACCCTATGATTGTTATTGATTGTTGATGTTGTTCTTTATCATACATCAAGTCCAACCTTTGACGGTCTCTATGACTATTCATCGAAGGAAGTTTAGAAGTCAAACTTCCGACAATATGGAGAGATGAAAAGCAGAGCAGGGCAGAGGCAGAGAGAAGAGGAAGATTAGCAGAGAGAAGATCAGAAGAGAAAGAGTAAGAAGACAGAAGATACAGATGCGCAAAAAGGTAGGAAAGTCGCGAAACACTGTGTTTTTCCAATGATTTGTGGCTCCAGAGGGTCGAAAAGTAGGCTCGCTAAAGCGGCGGGTGCGGAGCCAGCTGGCCAGAGGAGCGATGAAAAATTGCACGCCGTTGTGGCGCGAAGCACATTTCCAAGTGAAAATGTACAAAACACACCATTCTTGGACCACTTTTGGAAGTTGAGATGTCAAAAAAGTGCACGCCGTTGTGGCGCGAAGCGAGTCAAAAGTGTTAAAAACTGGCGGTCTCGGACCACTTTTGGAAGTTGCGATGTCGAAAAGTGCACGCCGTTGTGGCGCGAAGCACATTTCGAAGTCAAAATGTACAAAACACCACATGTTCGCGCCACTTTTGGAGGTTCAGATGTCGAAAAAGTGCACGCCGTTGTGGTGCGAAGCACATTTCGAAGTCAAAAAAATTCCAAAACACTAGGGTTTCGGACCATTTTTGGAGGTTCAGATGTTGAAAAAAAGTGTACGCTACACTTCACTACATTACACTACAACTACAACTACAACTACATTCCGTTACCCTCCCGGACACTAATTTACACTACACTAAATTACACTACACTACACTACATTACACTGCACTACACTACCTTCCACTACATTCCACTACACTACACTACACTACAGTACACTACACTACATTAGACTGAATGACACTGCACCCTAGATAGACAGGTAGACGGATAGACAGACAGACAAACAGATAGATAGATAGACAGATAGACAGGCAGACAGCTAGACAGAGACAGATGAAAGAGAGAGAGAGAGATAGATCGATAGATAGATAGATACATAGATAGATAGATTGGTAGGTAGGTAGGTAGGTGCACCATAGATAGATAGGTAGACAGACAGACAGACAGACAGATAGATAGATAGATAGATAGATAGACAGGTAGACAGCTAGACAGCTAGACAGATAGACCGATGAAAGAGAGAGAGAGAGAGATAGATAGATAGATAGATAGATAGATAGATAGATAGATAGATAGATAGATAGATAGATTGGGTAATTGAATGAAAGAAAGAGAGAGATAGATAGATCGATAGATAGATAGATACATAGAAAATAGATAGGTAGGTAGGTAGATAGTCAGAGAAAGAGAGCGAAAGAAAGGAGACCTCAAGCACCTTTCGGTCCATCAGTGGCTTCGCTCTGCCATCCCTGATTCAAAACAACCAACCTCTCCTATAGGTTGCCTATTTTTGAAACTTCCGCCACCGCCTTGTGCGGTACTACTGGTATATATATATATATATTATAACAAATTTGGTACAGATAAAAAGATATATCGCACACACACACACATATATTATATATATATATATTATAATGACTATATGTATTTCATATGATAATTAGGTATATCACACACACATATCATATATACCTAGGTCTTCGTTCGTAGCACTTTTTTCTGGCAGACTAGGTTGTTGACTTCTTTTTGAGATATCGGTCAGAAAAGTAGTTCTTGCCCAAAGCGCCTTCTTTTGCAGTTTACCTACGTTTTCCCTGGTTTCATTTCCATGTTACACATGCAACATCATCCATTCCTATTTCAGTTGAATTTCTATTGTGGGCCGTTGATAAAACGAAATGATGCAATGACAAGTGGCCCCAAATCGACAGGGTCCATTACCACCTACAGTCAATCGGCTACGAAGTGTCACTGACAGACTCTTTGGCTTACCATTTCTTAGACTATCTTGATTTGTGTGTGCGATGTGCACGTTTTATGCGAAAGTTTGCGCCTACAAAAACCTTCAAAGCTACTTCAAAAAACTTCAAAACGCCTACGAAAACCATCAAACGCCTACAAATCCCAAAAACTAGGTCACTTTGTTTCTTGTATATTTTTTGACTATGCCCAAAAATGGGATAAAATGAGCGTTCTGCAATTTTAAGCATAGTTCTCACAGAATTAAGTCTTTGAAAGAAACATGGTCATGATGGCAAGTTTGAAGGTGCACGACTTATTTATTTTGTGGGAGACAATTTGAAACTCCAGGTTTTTTCAATGACCAACTTGTATTAATTAGTGCAGGGGGTCGGAAAGTAACAGAAAATTCGATGTTGCAGTGGAGGGCGTAAAGTTCACGAGCGTTTTTTGGAGATATCGACCAAAACGTCTACTTTTTGAATTAGTATCCAGAAAAAGTAGAACACTAGGGGTCTTTTAATGAAGACCTAGGTATAGATATATCATTGCATGATATATCATCTATGTGTATATAATGACATATAATGACTAAGTATTTAATATGGGTATATATATATATACACATCATGGAAAAACTATACATATCTATACATTATCATATAGAGATATATATATATATATATAGATAGATAGATATTAGTACCATTATCATGACTTTGTATAGTTTTTTCCCACACACACACATATATATATATATATATCCATTGTTATATATATATATATACGCTATCATATATATATATACACTCTATATATATATATATACACTATATATATATAATATTGGCACCATATCATGTCCATCCAGGTCGGCCTCCGCTCAAGGCACATCCTGGATCTGTTCCTCCAAGAGCTCCAGCTGCCCGAGGGCGAGGCCTGGGACGTGACGAAGTTCCCCTACCGCTTTCGCAAGCTACACGCGGACGGTGCCGGGGAGGAAAAAAGGGGGGTTGGATGGGAAAAATGGTGGAACACCTATGGAAAACCTATGGTTTTTTGGTGGAACAGGTTAGATGTCGTGGTGATAACTCAGTGGTTTTTCTTGGATGTGGGTTTGGTGTATGTTTATTTAAGTTTCCTTTAGACAAAACCCGTTGAGAAAAGCGAAGTGGCCTCTGGTAGGTGGAGAGTTCTACACGCACACATGTAGTACATGTCTCAGCCAGCTTGATGTAGGAATGACATGATATCGATGGAAGAACGCAAGTTGTCAATTTTGAGCTTCCTATTGCAAAGGGTTTGAATAGATTCAAACACCTGTTTGATTAGCCTATAGATCCCATAGCCATAGTGACTTCAAAAACGACCTCACAAAATTCTGCTCCGATTAGTTGATGGGATTAGCTGGTGACTTGCCACCAGCTCTCAGGTTGATTCTGCTCCGCCAAAAAAAGTGGCCTATCTAAGACTCTAAAGATTAGCCACCAACTCACTATATACATAATTCATGTCAGAATTACATATATGATATAGTTTTTTTCGTTTCACCCCCTTGTTTCCACACCTTTCGCAGTTCAGCTGAAGAGCTTCCCAGTTTCAGCTTCTCCGGCCTCGCCAGGTTTCATCGACCCGACGTGGTCGCTGGCAGAAGTGGATCGCTTCATTCGGGCCTTTTACTTCCCGCCCTACTCCGCGGCGCGCTTGCGCCTGGAGGATGGGGATGGGGATGGGGCAATTCATAATGAAGGGCTATAGTACACACACAGAGATAGATAGATAGATAGATAGATAGATAGATAGATAGATAAGATAAGATAGGATAGGATAGGATAGGATAAGATTAGATTCGATTAGATTAGACTAGACTGGACTAGACTCGACTAGATTAGATAGATAGATAGATAGGTAGACAGACAGATAGATAGATGGATAGATGGATAGATAGATAGATAGATAGATAGATAGATAGATAGATAGATAGATAGATAGATAGAAGGACAGCAGGATAGAAGGATAGATAGGATAGATAGGATAGATAGGATAGCATAAGATAGGATAAGATAGGATAAGATAGGATAAGATATGATAAGATATGATAAGATAAGACTAGATTAGTTAGATGAGTTAGATTAGTTAGATTAGATAGATTAGATAGATTAGATTAGATAGATTAGATAGATTAGATTTGATTAGATTAGATTAGATTAGAATAGATTAGAATAGATTAGATTAGATTAGATATGTATGTATGTATGTATGTATGTATGTATGTATCTATCTACCTACCTATCTATCTATCTATCTATCTATGTATGTATGTATGTATGTATGTATGTATCTATGTGTGTGTATTTGCCCCTTACAACTGAGATCTGATGCCCCCAGGACGGCTCCATCCACAGCGTGCTGAACCTGGAGCATTTCCAGGCCCTGTGCAGCGGCCGGCCGTTTTTTGCGTCGCCACCGTTCTGGCAGAGGAAGCCCACGGGCGAGCAGCTGGGGCAGATGAAACGATACGCCACTTGGCTAGATCATCCAGAGTTATAGATGGTATATATATATATATATGCACCAGGCCCTGCCACCCCCCCCCTCCCCCCCCCATATGGGATGGGTCCCATATACTGGTCCCATATGAGATCTTCCCCCTCCCCCCCTGTGGTGTGGTGGGGGTGTGGCACTGTCCCCCTCCCCCCCCTGTGGTGTGGTGGGGGTGTGGTATGGTATGGTGGGTATGTATGGTGTGTATGGTCGGTCTGGTATGGCATGTTTGGAAAGTATGGTATGTTTGGTATGTATGGTAGGTATGGTATGTATGGCATGAGTGGTTGGTATTGTATGGATGGTAGGTATGGTATGTAAGTCTGTTGGATATGGTATGTTTGATATGACAGTATGTATGGTCTGTATGGTATGTATGGTTACTATGATGGGTATGGAATATGTCCTATCTAAGGTAGGTATGGTATGTATGGCATGTATGCTTGCTATTGTATGTATGCTATTGTATGTATGGTAGGTGTGGTAATTACATTTCATATGTATGGTATGTATGGTATGTATGATAGATATGATAGGTATGGTATGCATGGCATCATTGACATGTATGGTAGGTACGGTATATGTTCAACAGAGGTAGTGTTGTCAGAGTACACAGGTAGTAAACAGGAAGTAGATACAGTAGATACATAGCACATGTATGTATGACTATAGGTAGCACGTAGGTACTTTGAAGGAGTATGTGTGCTACGTAGGTCGCCTAAAAGGTAGCATGTACCTAGTAAATGCGAGGCTGGTAGTCAGAAATGCTGCAAAGACCTAGCAAATACGACGCTGGACCTCAGAAATGCTGCCAATAGCTTGCAAATAGAAGGGAATTGGGGCTACTACCTGGGGACCCAACCCATGGGGGGGGGGGGTGGAGAGACGGAGGACGGGACCATATATATAAATCTCATTAACTAGTTCGATATATCATCCATAATCCCTAGCTGGTTGGTGGTTTTAACCATCTTGAAAAATATGAACGTCAATGGGAAGGATTATCCAACAGATTATGGAAAATCACAGCCATGTTTGAAACCACCAACCAGATGTAAGTATCTATAAGTAACATTAAGTAACTATATCCAATGGATTCCAGTGGCCATTATTAAACATAACTGGTGCTAAACGTAGGGAATGGATGGGTTGCGGGGGGTTGCTGGGATGATGACATTACCAGTGATGAAATGGATCATTCCTGAAAATTCCCTGCGCGTAAAACGCACCAGTAAGAAGGGATGGCTTGAGATTTGCAGATGACCTTGACCTGGATCTACCTTTCAGTCTTGGCCAGAGTCCAGAGGTCCAAAATATCAGAACGAAACCTTCAAACAATAGCAGAGTCATTAAACATAGCGTTTAAAAGACAATCCAAAAATCATGAGGGAGAAAAGAAGCCATAGCCTTTTCACATTGATTCTTAAACACTCAATCTCATTCAAAAAACACAACTTCATCATGGCCAAGTAAAATCATGTAGAATCCGCCCAAATCCATCCGGCCAAACCATTGGCATGTTATATATATAAATATATATCTGTGCAAGATGGATTTGACAATGGAAAGTCCTCACATTTCTAGATGATTTTCTGATTAACACCTTCATTTACAACATATTTTCCATTGCCACGTTTGATTACCGGTAGGCTTTGTATAGTAAAAGGTAGGAGACGATAGGATGACAAGATTGTTTGGCACCGGCAGTTGATCAGCCACTGATCCTGTTTTTTAAAACACATGCTGTAACCCTGCTGGATATATCTCAGTTTGGTTACGTTTTTTTTTGTGTTTTTTCGGCTGGTTTCCAGCTGATGCAAGAAACTATAATGTAATCTATCCAGGGGTTAGGGGGAGCTCCATCTAGCTATAGACATAATCATTAACCCATCTGTTAGCTTAGTTATAAACTAATTTATCCATTTAGTGGGTAATAATCATGCCATAACAGTCATGTTGTAATTTCTAGCTCAGAGGGATCGGTGCAGGAAACAAAATCACATTTGATGGTAAACAATGTTTTTTCCGGTAAAGATGTTCCCTTATATAAATCTATATGCATTGAGTATGGATGAGCATGGCAAAACAAATCTTTAAGACATTTTACTCTCCGGTACAGTGGCGTGCTTGAAAATCCACCATTTAATTCGAGGATTCTTCCAGTCACATTTCCATTTATAGGGGATTTCCCAATTTTCACAAAACATGTTCCACCAATTTCATCGAGTTTCCAGGCTGCACCCGTAGGTTCAAGCCATGGCCTTGCTGAAACGTCACGAAGACGGGCATCCTTTGAGGCTGGCTTTCTGCCAGATCAACTGATGATTGAAATGATGAATATCAATGGCATATCAGAGGAACATTCATAGGATACTGATTTATGATGAATATCTGAATTATGATTTATGATGAATATATGGTTTATGCTGAATATATGATCATGGGATATTAGTTCATACCACTGCAATATCAATGATTTATGATGAATATTCATGGGATATGAGTTCATATCAACACAGATCGTAAGTGGTGATCGTAACCCTGGTGTCATCTCAAAGTCCCATAAAGTCCCCATATATAAAGTGGGTTATCCCATATACAAATGGATTATCGTTGCGAATCTTGTAGTTCTGTGTTGTGCCCTTTGCTTCGGTGTCATGAAGCATGGCAAGCTGGGAAATCCCTGCCAGAAGGTACACGTATACCCTCCGGTGAACTAACAAAAAGCTATTGAAAATAGCCATAGAAATAGTTGATTTACCCATTTAAAATGGTGATGTTCCATAGTTATGTTGCTTTACCAGAGGGTAGTAACTATAACCCAGGTTAATAGCAGACTGGATATGATTACATCATATTATATGAGTTATATCTCAATCATCATAAGCCAGTCGTACATGGATATCCCCAGCTACTCTAATGGACCATAAAGATACGGCTTGCATTTGTTGACGAAGCCATCAATCAACCATTCCTTCAAAGCCTTCTCCACTGCAACCATAGGGATGAAAAAGAATAATTATGTTCAACACCTAACCATATCTAACCCAAGATTATGGTTGCAGCCAATATCTAACCATATCTAACCAATATCTATTGGGGATATTGGGGATATGTTCAAAATCCAGGTTAATATTGATCTAACCCAAGATTTTGGAAATCAATATCTAACCCCCAGCCATTTCGAACCCCACAGCCACCACCAGCCGTATCTCTGGTTGTTTTTTGTTGGTATCCAGTCGCCATGGTCCAGTCGCCGTTTCGCGCGCAATGCGCAGGCAACTTTGGGAGCAAAAACTGCAGGCTACCCTGGCGTGCTGATCTGGTGATTTCACATAGCTTTTCATGGCCCAGTTATAATTAGCGGAACTAGCGAAAAACACATGGTGGTTGACTCAATAGCAATGGTCAAAAAAGAGGGTATATAAATAAAGGTAAATCACGGTAAATCGCATAGACATTATATACACACATATGTATCTGCATATGCATATATATATATATGTTATGTACACAAACACAAACACACACACACAGATATATATATATATATATATTTGGGTCCCCCATAGCTATGTTACTATGTTAGGCTACCAAAGCAACTAGGTTACATTGATATCAGATCTTCAAAAAAAAAATGTAGAAGTTGGCAGGATTTGGCCCCATCTTTGAAGGCAAAAGATGTGGGTTGACTCAGATCATGGCTGGACAACGAAAATGAGGCGCCCAAGAACGGATGATCATCATTTCCGAATTTCCCTTAATTTTCCCGTGTCTATTTCATTCATAGGGGTGGATCAAAACCAGATAACCATGTTTGGGGGATTGAACAACCATTTTGCCATTGACAGCTATTTTGGTGTGAACTAGCCAGAGTTTTTTTCGCCATATGCTTTTATGGCGATTTGGGGAACCAATCCTTTCGTGGAGGACGGTCGTCGAACTATAAGGGATTTTATGGAATTTTTGATGATTGCCCTCCAGTAAATTAACATAGACCCTGCCAGATAGGGGCTGGAAGACTAGTTTCCACTATAAATTTGTCATTTTCAGGGTCCCGCTTCGCGTGGGGTGGCCGCCCACACCGCAGGTTTATTTCGGTCCGTGAGAGGGGCTAAGGGTGGTTTTCCCCCGTGGGGGCTTGCCAAGCTAAGAATTTTCACTTTCCCCCCCCGTCAGGGTTCCCCAAGCTAGGGAATTTTCACTTTCCCCCCCCGTGGGGGCTCCCCAAGCTAGGGAATTTTCACTTGAGCCCCCGTGAGGGCTCCCCAAGCTAGGAATTTTCACTTTTTCCCCCCCGTGGGGGCTCCCCAAGCTAGGGAATTTTCACTTTTTCCCCCCGTGGGGGCTTCCCAAGCTAGGGAATTTTCACTTTTCCCCGCCGTGACAGCTTCCCAAGCTATGGAATTTTCACTTTCCCCCAAATCCCGTGTTCTTTGAATGTGTTTCCATGTTTTTGCAATGGTTTCCTTCAAAGCACGGTACTTTACACTCTTGTCGCCATAAAACCGGTCGAAAACATCATGTTCGACAATGCTTCCAATTCCCTTATCTCCCCAACCGTTGAAAATACCGCTATTTACAGTGTTTTCTTCAATTTTCCATGTGCCAATGCTGGTAGCCAACTTCAACATATATATAAGAAATCCTTCCAAAACATTGTTTTTGACAGTGTTTTTCCAATGTTTCCAGTCAAACAGACGGTAATATACACGTTTATTGCCATAAAGGCAGTAAATCCTTCCAAAACATTGCTTTTGACAGTGTTTTTGTAATGTTTCCAGTCAAGCATACGGTAATTTAGACGTTTTTTGCTATAACGTCAGTCCAAAACACTTGTTTTTGCAGTGTTTTCAATGCTCTGGCATCCAAAAACCCTGCAAAATCTTGCTATGTACAATGTTTTTTTCATTTTTGGCCGTTTTTCCATTGCCGGAAAGCTACCAAAATGACCCAAAATTCCATTTCAATACCCTCTTGCGCTCAGACACCCAAAAATCCTCGAAAAATGTCGAAAACACCACCGTATTCTGGTCTCGGTGCGAAACCGTTTTTGGCCCCCCCCCAGCTAAAGCTGATATAGCGACTGCTATATTAACAAATGTCATTGAGCATTTAGTGTTGCTGTTGCCCCCCAATAAGCACGCCTTCACCGCCAAAGCGGTGTGGGCGGATTTACCAGGGGGTATTATATACTCATCATGAGGTTTGGATACGTTTGGTTACGGGATGACAATGGCAATCCCAGAATTTTCCGATGCACATCTCCCATGGCACCGTGAAATCTCCCATGGCACTACTGTGGTTGGGGATCCTCACACACATCAACATCTGGGTGGGGCGATCAACACATGCATCAAAGTCAATCCAAAACCCCCTAATTATGTTGACGATTTCAAAGTCTCAACACAAAAAAATGTGTGTGAGTGTATTCTTGTGTGTGTTTGGTTACATTTTTCAACCTCGTATCTCTTGGTATAGGTCAAAACTCTCCAAATCTTCCCAAATCATAGTCTATATTATATAGTCCATTGGTGTGTTTTTGCGTGTTATATCCACAAATGCATCCAGTTTACCGATCATTCCAACATCGTTTTACTAAACGAACCGGGGGACCAATGGCTAATCCTTCACCGTTGCACCGTTGCAGGAAGCGACGAAGTTTTGGAGCGAGAAGCCTTCTGGTAGTCGGATCAAGCGTTGACCCAGAAAGGGCTGGTCATGGCTGGTCATTTTGAGGATCTTAACTGGTTGGTGGTTTGGAACATGACTTTTGTGACTTTCCATATCTTGGGAATTTCATCATCCCAACTGACTTTAACTCCATCATTTTTCAGAGGGGTAGGGCTCAACCACCAAGCAGTTAATTTCTGGGACCTTCACAAGTTAAATCTTTTGTAAAAACCAACCCAGGACCCAAACTGGCTTCGTTTTGAGGATCTTGAAGCCTGAAACATCCTGAAATCATGTGAGGGTTGAAGACGTGGGAGCGACAGCTGCATGTCACCCCAGAAAGTGGGGGTCTGACGATGATTCAATAAATAAATATATCCCGACAAAATGTCATCAAAAGCGGCAAAAATCCCATGTTTCTTTTCACAGAGAAATCACAATTGTTCCATCCTTTTGCACGGAAAAAACACGGTTTTCCACCAATTTTCACGAACAAAATCATAAAAATCCTAGTTTTTAACCCTTTTCATAGGGAAATCCCAGTTGTCCATCCTTTTTGCCGCTGACCAGGCCCCTGGGCACCGACGTGGCGGCCGAAGCTTGCTGCGTTTCGGCCGCGGCCAGCGGCGATGACGCTTCAAGCGACCTGGAGACGCTGACGGCGCGGCTGGCGCGTGGCGCGGCGAGGGGATTAATAGTTATCGTTATCTAATTATATAGTTATCTGATTATTTATAGTTAATTATACTTAGTTATGTTTTTTTTTTAAAAAATATCTCATAACTATAGTTATCAGTTATAATTATAGTTATAAGAATCTATAGTAGTTATAGTTATAGTAATTATATCTATTATTAGAATAGTTATAATCAGTCATAGTTATCTATAATAGTTATAGTTATGAGATAAATATTCTGAATAATATTAGGTCATAACCCATTAGTTGTCTAATTATATATATATTAGATACGGTCAAAAGTATAAAATAATCCATGATTTACTATATATTAAATACTATATTAGTAATTATATATATATATATCAATTATGTGATTTAGTTGTAATCAGTTTTAGTGAAACTATAGTAATAGCTATGATGTGATCATTCTGGAATCTATTCTGTGAAGATAAACAGTTGATAGTAATCTTTATTAGTTATTTTTATCCATGATGTCTACTAATCTACTAGTGATAGTAAAGATAACTATGATAATAAGAATTAGATAGTTAATAGGCATTTCAGCTATCTATGTTTTTGTATTTAGTAGATAAGTTTTTCATTGGTTATTAGTTATGTATATATGGATTGAATAACTAACTATATTAACTATACCATCAATAGATATAGATAGATATAGTTATCCAATAGTTATAGTTCATAGATATATAGTGCATAGATGTTAATGGATATAGTTCATAGTACATAGTTAACAGCTATAACAATATTCAATAGTTATCGTGAAGTTAACCAACTATTGGAGTTATCTATTTCACCAATACCAATAGTTAATAGTTATAGTGATATATGTATATAATAGCTCACACAGTAAACGTCAAATATAGCAATTTTCTGAGAGTTATTTCAGTATCAATGGCGCTTGGTGGAGGCTAATGCGGGTTTTACCATCAAAAATGGGAATTTAACATGTTTCAACCTTCAGGAGGTGGTGTTCAAAATGAAGAGATCCAACCAGTTCCAAAATTTGGGGCTTATTTGTTCTGATTTTGCTTGGGAGATCCCAGTTTCACTCGGTGTTTTGCCTGTCTATCTCGGTGTTTTCCTGCGTTTGCGTTTGGGTCATCACCGTTTTTTTTTAGATCGCCAGAACGCTAAAAATTGTAGTTGGATTGTGCTTTAAAAATCCACTGACTGGTGAATTCCTGATTTTTGGTGAAATCATGTGGAATCCCCAGAATCCACTTGGGATTCCGATCCGCCCCAGGTGCCGTGGCGCGCTTCAGTGTGTCTCCAGCCTTCGAACCGCTCCTGCAACCCTTGGTGCAGCGCTGTGTGGAGCAGTTGGGGCCTGGGGAAGATCCTTGGGAAGAGGCGAAGAGAGGCAGAGCTGGACTGCCGAGCTGGACATCTTGGGATGAAAACTCCGATGGAACTCCAGAATCCAATGGAACTAAGGGGTGTTTGGCGAAATTTGAAGGCTGTCACATCCCACATTTTCCCGGGAAATCTGGCAACAATTCCCCATTCAGTGCTCGATGTTCGATAGTTGGGGGATTTCACATGACGGCGCAGGCCTCACAGCTGCGTGGCTTGGCAGTTGATAGCGGCTACAGTGGTTGATCATCCAGGGGGATTAGTCTATGACAAGCGGCTTGCAATGTGCCTTTGTGGACATGTTAGTTAGGTATTCCATCTAGGCCTAGGATGGTCTAGGATGGTCTAAGAATCCCGGAATACACATCTTGAAAGATCATCCCTGGTTGGTGGTTTGGAACATTTTTTATTTTCCCCAATAGTTGGGATGATGATCCAATCTGACTTTCATATTTTTCAGAGGGGTAGGTATACCACCAATTAGATCCAAGTATGACTAAAGACCGCTCACAAAACTGGATGGTGTAAGGTCAGCGATCATCACCCTGGATCAGCCGAAAAACCGGTTTTCCTCAGCTCAGACTCCCAGAAACCAAGGGCCATCCAGAGGGGTGGCAACATGGGTCAACCTTATTGGTCAAAGCTAGTTGCAGTATGATCCCACCCCCCAATCCTATGAAGCACATTTAAAATCATTTAAACACCCTTATTTTATGATTCCAAATATATATGTGATTTCATCCCCTACTTTTTACCATGGTTTCCGATGCTTTCTGGGAGTTGCACTAACCACCAAGACTAGAAAGGGTTTCGCGGTGGCACAATTAGCCGCGAGGACAAGGTCCTAAGTTTCCAGATTTGCTTCATTTATGTTTCATTTGTTGGACTGGCAGTCTGTTGAATGGTGATTTCTCGTTGTATATCTTCCCTTCTTGAAAGTAGGTCCACAATTCTCTAGTGGTTTCGCAATGATTTTAATATTTAAGACCAATGACTCAATTTCGGTGGGGATGGGTTGAAGCAACCATCTAGAACCTGGCATCATTCATTTGATTCATCATTTGATTCATTCGGGTTCGTCAGAAAGATTGGGTGCGCCAAATCCAATGAGTTTGTCATAATTTCCAATACCCCATTTCTGGACCAACCCACCAATTGCAAGTTGGTTTCAAAAACCACCTGGCTCTAGTGACTTCATCACCATAAACCCATCCAACCTAGATATCGATTCCCAAAATCATCCAAATCATAATCATCATATCTTTATATCATTCACATACCCATTGCTATACTATTAACCTAGTTATAAACCAACTTCGCTAACTAGGTTGCACGACCTCGACATCCTTTGAGTTTTAGCCAAGGTTGAGCCAGAAGAACGCCTTCGCCAACCCCGAGAGCTCCCCTCGCCCTACCGTCGGCGTTGCCGACGCCGAGAGCGGTGTCAATGGAGTCCGAAAGACGCCACGGATAGCGGGCGGATGGCGACTGCTACTGGGACAAAATGATGAACTCATGCGGCCACTGTGGTAAACCCAATAGTGAAAGTAATAACGATCATAGGGGCTTAACTAAATCGAAATACTGTAACCAACAGTTGAATTTAGATGAATTTAGAAACAAATGATGATGTTGGAAACCCAATGCCATAAACCTTTAATATCGTAGGTCTATACCAGTGAATTCTGGTGAAATTGGGGATTATTGGGTTTAGCACATTATTACATCCGAGTTGGGTAAAAATACCCTTGGCCAATCTTGGCTGTTTGATGATGGAGGAGCCTACTGACCAGCAAGAAGGATAAACACGAGTAAACCGTCTAATGCCTTGGTTTTCTAAGTTGATTTGATTGCAGATTTCGGCTGAACATAGGAATCAAACTGTAGAGGTCTCCATGCAGTACAGCACTGGACGAGATTTCGCAAGCACAGGGTGTAGACACCCCTTTTGGTGGTGGGTTTTATTTTTGAGATGGATGGGATTGCTGAATGTTTATATCTGGCTGAGTGGTTGGTTGATTGCTGCTCTGGATTGATTCTATAGCATACAGTAGCCCATACACTGAGATTGTTATTCTTTTTGGACACACATACGGCTAAAAGCACAGATCCTACTAGTGTAAAAGTCAAACTTCGATCATGTTCCGATGAGGGATCCACAAACCACCAAGTGCTCAACCATGTCTAAGGTCAGAGCCATCCATTCTCACCTTACATCACCTCGCCTCAAATATGTTATTCAGTTGCAAGGCTTTCTCGTCCCTACAAGGTGACGACAAACAGTTTTGTTTGTTGGTTTTTAAACCTTATGAAAACTGGTTCAGAATAATTACATCATGCTATATAACGTTATATAACGTTATATATACATATATACCATGTTGTTTCATGTTACATTATCTTGTGTCATGTTATATCCCCCAGACACCCACGAATTCAGCAAGTTACTTCCGTAAACTTCAGCTTGGATCTCCCAGGAGCCTGGCTTCCGCGGTGGCTTTGCTGCTCCTTGGCTTCCGCGCTGCCCTTGGTGGCTGGTTGCAAGGCAACCGGGGGCCTTTGAACCCGGTTGATGTACCCTCCAACTAGTTGGATTTATGATAGTTTTCTGCTAAGATGATACAAAATGATGTCCCACTCCGAATTCATGTTCAGCCGGGGTTGACATGGGGTGGCTGATGTTTGAGTTGGAAACAATGAACCAATGGAGTGGAAAGTTGCAAAGTTGTCGTGCTTAAGTCCAACTGTGTTGAATCCTCACTTTCCTGGTGCACTTCTCATCACTTTACGTATCAAAACCAGTCGGTGATGCTCAAGACACACTTGCCATGTGCCATTGGGGTGGGCAGATTCGAATTCTGCGGACTCATCAATGTTTTTTTTTCTCAGGGGACATCTACAGCTTTTCCCAGGGTTGTTCCCATGAAATCTGCAGCTTTCCTCTAGGTTTTTCCTGAAACTGCTCCAATGAAGCCTACATCCCCACATTTGCCATCCCCACTATATTCCCACTATATTCCCATTGCATCCACAAAAACCCATCATTTTCCTCCCAAAAAAAAAAGATTTCCAGGCGGCCGGGCGTTCGGATCCTTCGGCGCGGATGTCTCCCGCGCCAGCCGCGTGGCACTGGAGGGTAGTCGCTGTATGGACGGCTCGGTGGCCAACATGTACGTGGCCAAAGGCTATGCCGAGGGAAGCAGGACCGGACCTTTCCGAAGGCATTTTCCTTGGGAGATCCACCAGTGGGGAATAAGAATAACGTGGGTAAACTAATGCCATAAACCACCTATGACGGGGAATGGTAAACATACCACCTATAAAAATGGTGATTTGGGGGATGGCTTATTATTGTCTTACCAACACTAAACTGAGTTTTAGTGGGATTGAAATGGGGTTAGAGATTTGGATTGGCTTTCCTGGATTCGGCCGATGAACATGAATGAATTAAGCGGAAGTCGATTAATTAACTAGAGGTTATTGGCATAGTTATAATGGTCATAACCCCATTATATAATGGTTGATTAGTTATATATACTATAGTTGTATATATATATGTACAACTGATTAACCAGTACATTGACTCACTGGGGTTATAGAATGGTTCGATGTTTCTGCCACTTTGATTCGCTGAGTCGATGATGCGATCAGGGAACATTTGATGTATGTTTTGAGAGTCCTTGAGCACATCCAAGATATGTGAATATCATTGAATATCTGCATGGTGTATAAAAGTGCGTTATGTAGCAAGTTTGAATGATCATGAATGATCAAAGGGATGAGGGAAGCAGCTGCTCAGTGGTTGGAAGATGGGAGATGGCATGAGAAGGAATGGCATGTTTGAAGAGCTTGCGGCTTGAGTAGCTCGAATATATGCTTTGCAAAAATGCTGCCACATATCCATGGTCAGTAAGTCTAAGCACCTTCTTGGGGAAAACCACCCCCCCTGGAGATGGCATTTGGGCGGACGGTTAAACCATGGCTCGTGGACATGGTTTTTTCCGAAGTGGAACTGGGATGAACATGATATTTACCCTGGGCGAATCACACATAGGTAGCTGGGATATCCCCGTGGCCTGGCCATGCAGCTTGAGTTCGCTGGGCAAATCATCAAACTAAACGATGGATTTTCCAGCGGGGCTATGGCCGCTATGGGTCCAACTTTCTTGCTGCGCACATATGTGCACCCAAACATGGGATGCTTCCGGAGTAAAGCATAGGTCAGCATCAAAGACAGACACCAATCTGCCCTCACTGAGCAATCTGAGCAGAAGGCCCAGCGCTAAAATCTACCCTCTGGTAGTTTTTCGCATAGCCATCCAACATCACTGTATCTCGTAAGTCAATCATCAAACTAGATGGGCCATTTACCATACCCTCTGGTAAACTAACATAGCTATTGAAAATCACTTTTTTTAATGGGTAAACTCTATAAATGGGCCATTTTCAATAGCTATGTTACTATGTTAGTTTACCAAAGGGTAGTTTCATTCAATGTCATGGTGAAATGATGATTTCCATTTCCCATCCAGGAAGAGGCCCCCAAACGTTCCGTTTTTTGGTTTCTAATCTCATTGCGCACTAGATCGATATATCCACTAATCATTACTAATCATTACTAGTTATTATATGCGACTATATATGTGATTATATGTGATTATAGCTATTGACTATGAATATTTAACTCTTGACTTAAATAGTCTATAGTACATTGTAGCCCTTGTTTTTGACCAACGGCCACGCCGCAACGCCAGGAAATGGGTGATCTACTTCCAGGGCGGTGGATGGTGTGCTCCTCAACACCTGGCCCACCTGGAAGGCTACAGCAGCTGGGCAGCAGCTGGGGCTAGCATTTTTCAGCACTTTCCATAAGAAATCATAACAATAACGCCTAAAACCCTAAAAACCAACAGCCTAAAACCATCTAAAACCCGAAATCCTGAAACCTAAAGTCAAAATTGCTGCGTATAGCCAGCGTTTTCGTTCATGCTCTTGACAATAAAAAAAATATATATATATATGGTGTTGTCCGGTTGTGTTATGTGGATATGGAGAAACGCCCCGGTTGGGGTGAAGATGTTTTAAGCATCAAACACGATCGTTTTTTCAGCATGGAAACTGGTGATATTTCATGGAGGAGATTCTGAGAGATCATGCGATAGAGTGAGGATATAAAATGGGATACAATGAGGATGCACACACACATATATTGCTTCACATATATATATATATAATCGGATACAATGAGGATATAAAATGGGATACAGTGAGGATACACACACATTAATATATATATACATATATATATAATGGGTATAAGGGGTGTCATGGGTATAATGGGAATGATGGGTAATCATTCTTTTTGGCAAGGGAAATCCCTGAACTAAATGGAGCTGTGTCGCTGGGAAAATCATTGAACTAAATGGGAAAATTTCAGCACGCCATGTTTGATTACCAGTAGATTGACTAATTGGATATGTATAATGGTAATGAAGACTGCAGAATTGGTATACATAGTTACCTATATATATATATTGATTACCAGTAGATTGACTAATTGCTTTGAAACTGCAGAATGACAAATGTAAACCGGGGAACATATGTGGCGTACGCGACCTGGCTTATGAATCACTTAGCAAATGTCTCGTCAGGTTCCCCCCTGACAAGATGGAAAAGTGACACAGCAATTATCCTCGAAAAGTGGTCGATGACATGGTTTCAAATAATGGGATAATCATGGGATAATGATGGTTAATGATGGTTAATGATGGTTAATGATGGTCAATGATGGTTAGAAAACATATATCTGGGTAAATTATAACGACCACTGTTCTCCCTCACTGGAAATCATGGTTTATGTTGGGGGAATCATCCCCAAATGGCCGCAAGATTCAGGTTAGTGAAATATTATAATTTACCCAGAATTTGCTATTTACATCTATTTACCATTTACCATATAGCTCAACGGCAAGGAAGTACCGTCTAAATACCTCCTTGATCAGAATATATGATTACCATAGGGTAAACTTTTTAAATTATACGGATGGATACATCATAATATAGGTAGGTACATTTGCATGAAGCAACTTCATCACCAAGAGAATATGCATGAGTGTAAATCACAACAATATAACTTAAAATTATCAGTAGTAACACATGTTTGATTCCATGACATGTTAGCATAAATTATATGATGTATTATGATTCCAGGTAAGGGCCGCCAGTTATGTTTGTTACATTCCCCTAATCAACCCAAAAGATTTCCCTTTTTTCTTGCGTCAGCTTTGCTATCTAGGAGGCTCCACCCTGTAGTAGACACAATATTATCGAATGTTGTCGTATGTCATATATATATAATCATCTTTTATCCATACATATGCGCACACACACACACGCATAAATGTATGTATGTATATATATATATGCATATATACACTGCACATATGTATGTGTAATTAATATTGATGGTATGATGATCTCTGTAAATCTAGTAACTATAGTAAACAGTTGTATATGTATAGTAGCCATTTCTGGTAGCAACCACACACTATGTTGTACGCTACCGTAAGCTTTCGCACTATACCCGCTGGTGGTTTACCATGTTTAATAGGCACGCAATCTATAAATTGGTGATTTGACATAGCTCTGTTAAGTTGCCAGAGGGTATATCCAATCAATATCCCATCAAAACATGTAACTTATAACATCCCATTAGAATCCCATCAAATTACCATAACATCGGACTAAAATCCCACTAAATCATTATTCAAAAAACCCTTTAAATCATTTTTGAAATCCCACTCAAATCCCAATCACTCAAACAAAAACCCAGTAAATCACTCTAAAAATCCCATGAAACCACTATGAAATCACCATAAAGTCCCGTTTCACCACATGAATCCGATCAGAAAATCCCACGAATTCCACCATTGCATCCGAGGTCCCCGTGAGGATGTGGGCCATCCAGACCCCTGCGAGGAACGAGCGCAGGGATACCATGGCAGCAGCCGGGATGATAAGGAGATCCGCCGGTGCGAACGAAGCATTAAAATACAGATGGTATGATACATGAAAAAGCATCGTGACTGGTTAACATATGTTAACATCTAATATGGTTTTTAGAGCATAATTAGATAATATATTGGTATTACATAATCTTTAGAATGATGGTTATTTATTTATTTATACATACATACATACATACATACATACACACACACATATATATATATATTTATAGCACATTCATGAGTGTTTTGTTCTGATTTTTTGTCCCAGGAGTTTCGTGACTTCAGCCAGAAGGGCATCCTTTCGGGCGATCAGAGCGTGAACCCACTGGCCCACAACTGGAATCGGGTCATGGCTGCCTGGCGGAGCGATCTGGAGAGCTGGGACCAGCTATGACCAGTGGTGAGATCTTTTTGCGTTAAAAAATGGTGGAAAATCCATGGCGCTTAGTATTTGTGAGGCTCATGAACCATCTATGAATGTTTAATAAATGGCATTCAGAACCTACGGCCGATGATTATGACAAATTGTGAGAGTAATTGGCGGTATATCAAGCAGTTTATTGGGATTTCATGACATGTGTGGACTTGTATTTGCTGGGATAACCTATTTTTTGCATGATAGTATATGGCTAAAAACAATGGTTACCAACCAGCATGGTGAACCCTATGGTTAAAGTCCCCGTTTAGTACGGGTTATTCCCATTTTAGTATTTAAACCCATGGTTTTGGGGGGGTAAGACCCTCGCTTTGGAACGCGCTCTCAAGCATCGCTTTAGAACGCGGAAGATGATCCAGCGCCATCTACACCTAGACAGATCATCTACATCATTTATATATATATAGACATTGCATACATCACTGCATCTCCCACATCTCTCCTATATCCTTTACATGATCTACATCATCTACATCTACACCACATACACCCCCCACACCATCTATATTCTATACGAACTTCATCTACATCATCTACATCATCAACATCATCTTCATCAACTTCACCAACATCATCTACATCGACTTCATCAATACCACATAGATACATCACACACAGTAATCAATCTACAGAAGTTGTTACAGAGGAGCTGTGACACAGGAGTTGCTATACAGGGTTGTGACACAGAACTTGTTCTACAGGAGTTGTTTTATTTCAGTTGTTACACAGGAGTTGTGATTGTACTATCCACATTGCCCTACCCCATCCCCCCTTACCTGGTGTGAATGACCATTGCCATCCAGTGCGCGTGCGAAGGTACGTTACCACCCCCTTACCCGGTGTGACTGGACGTCACCATCCAGTGCGCGTGGGAGAGTACGTTACCACCCCACCCCACCCCACCCTCACCAAAAGTTGAGGTAGGGTCGAATGTGAACGAGCAAAAAGATTCCCAAAAGAAGGAATAGATGAGTCAGTGTTCTGAAGTGATGCACGTGTTGAAACGATGTCTAGAAGTGTGTTTTGAAGTGATGCAAAATGCGTGTGTTCTGAAGTGATGTCTGGGATGGTGTTCTGAAGTGATCCTGTTACCTTTTGGGGGTACCGCATTTTAAGAAACCCGCATATGTTGAAAGTCCCTATTTCCATATTTCCGGGGTGATTATATTTTTCCAAATGGATGAACTAACATGTGATGCTATGGGTGCCAGTTAGGATTTGCGGATGATAATGCTTGAAAGTATCAGTCTTGAGTCTTGATTAGTTAGTTAGTGGAGGTGGGTATTGCTGCGATTTGTTTGTTTAGTTAGTTTAAGTTTAGTCAATTATTTTTTCTGATGTTTCCCATGGGAAATCCACCGTTTGGGGGAATCTAATTACAGGGATTTTTCTTTTAATTGTTTGGAGCCTCTTAAGCAAATCCCAAAAGTATGAAATGAGTTTTTAAACTTAGGCCCAGGCTGAATTTCCAGGAGTTTCATTGCTTTCCGGATGACTTGTTGTTCCTTACATTCTCAAATTTTATGGGTCTCCTGCCGAATTTCGCTTTTGGAAATCACTCCATTGATCATTGGTTTTCGGTCAATTCCGAGTGTCACTTGCAACATCTGAATTATTGCTATAGCAAAGTTATGGGTTAGGTATCTAACTGTATTTTCCATTGGCATGGTAGATTATGGGTTTAAAAGTGCTGTAAACATCTCCGCTTTCATCATGTGAAACAAGGCGGAGAACAACATCAAGTCCCGGGGTACCCCGGGGTCCCTGCAGAGTTTCCCAAATTGCACAGCCGTCTGTCAGTAATTTCCAATTTCACGAATCCATCATCAAAATATGTAAACAATTGTAAACATCCAACTTCTTGCGATTAAACCATGTTAAACCATGTTAAACCATTGTTAAACCAGGTTAAACCATGTTAAACCCGCCATTTTTCCACGCTTTCCCACGTTTTGATTGTTTCCCTTGCAATCCGAAGGTCCGCAACTGCGATGGCACGCTCTTCCTCAGCGATGCCGAGCTGCCGGTGCGCGGCGGCCGGCCCTTGCAGTTGCGGGGCCGGCGGAATGCCATGCGACTCGTTGCGGAAAGTGGGAAGAATGTTGGGGGAGATTCATGGGATTATAGTGATTTAATGGGATTATGTTGATTTTAAGGGGATTATGTTGATTTTAATGGGATTTGAATGGAATCTTATTGGGATATGTGATATTATTGGGGGATAGCCTTTGGTTAACATACAAAAAGCGATGGAAAATCACTATTGTTCATAGGTCAATCAACTGGAAATGAACCAGTTCAATAGCTATGGAAGAAATTATTTCATCACGACCTCATGTCATGACCTGGGAATGGTGGGAATTGGATGGAGGTAACTTATCCAGATCCCATCTGTTCCCGTCAGATCTGGTTTCATCCCCGACTTTTGACCATGGTTTCGAGGTTTTAACATGAAGGGGGGGGCATGGGATTATTTGGGTAAATCCCGATTTCATCATTTTTTATATGTTTACCATTCTGAAATGGGTGGCTTATGGCATTGTTTTAACCACATTACGGTTAATCTCATTATTGATGACTTCACTACTGATGATTAACTATATTTCGCTATTGGAGAAAATATTCTTGTACCATAACATTAGTAAACCATTACCCTCTGGTAAACGTTTACATGACTATGGAAAATCATCCTTTTTAAATGGGTAACTATAAATGGTCATTTTCAATAGCAAACTGTAAAATTACCAGAGGGTACATCCCATTGATATCCCATTAAATCATTATAAATCGCACCAAATCACTGTGCAAAATCCAGAAGCTATGGTTTTCATCATGAAATCTGATTCAATAACCATTTCACTATGGATGATTAACTATATTGCACTGGAGGTAATCATTGTTATTGTACCATAATATACCATAATACTAGTCTGGTTGGTGGTTTGGAACATGAATTTTATTTTTCCATCTATTTTTTGAACGTCATCATCCCAACTGACAAAAAAAAATTCAGAGGGGCAGGTCAACCGGTCAACATCGGTCAACCACCAACCAGTAAATCAGTTATGCTTTTCATCTCCATATGCTCCTTGTTGCTGGTATATTTACCTACATTTGCCCTAATAATCACCCAGTCATGTAGGTATATATACCAGCACCATGGAGCATCTGGGATCGTAACATTTTCCATTTCATATATGGGATGTCATCCTTCCCATTGACGAACTCCATCATTTTTCAAGATGGTTATTGCACCACCAGTTATGGTCATAGTATGTCATATAAAAAATGGTAAAAACATGTAGTTTCCGGTTAAGATTTTCCCCAAGACAACCAATCCAATGAGTTATGGTTTTCAGTTAGTATTGTTTATAATGTTAACCCCGGATTTATTTTACCATGGTGCCACCAACATCAGTAAACCAGTTATGCCAAATTCATATCTTTTCATCGTCAAATCGCCAAAGTCAATGGATTGGTTTAAGGGAACATTTACAGGAAAACCCCATATTTCATGGGAAAATTGATGGTTTCCTGTAGATTTTCCCAAGAAAACCAATCCATTGAATATAAAATCATGTAAGATCGTGTAACTCTTTCATCATATTTCCAGAGATGTCCAGAGATTTTTGTACCTCTTCACAATTCAATTTGGAGGTTGCCATCCATCTTTGGTACAAATCTCCAAATCGCCAAAGGCTGGCCATCCACCAGCTCTTGTCTTCCGGCCTGGCCGATGCCTCGGAGCTGCTCCTGGGCGGCTGCTCGGCGGGCGCCGTGGCGGCACCCCTTCTGGGGGACTACGTGGCCCAAACCGTGCGCCGCGCCGCGGCCCAACGAGGACGCCTCAAAAACGGGGGCAACGGGGGCAATGCTGAGGTGGATTTATGGTGATTTATGTCGATTTATGGTGATTTATGGTGATTTATGGTGATTTATGGTTTTTTTTGTGATATGTGATGGTCTTGGTGGTTTCTCTTGATTTTGGTTGATTTTGGTGGATTTCTGTGGTTTATGCGGATTTATGGTGAAGTTTTTTTATGTTGATGTTTATGGCAACGTATGGTGATATATTTCAGTTTTTGTTTCCCGGATTTCATGGTGATACTAACCAACTTAAACAGGTATTACTATCATTATTGATTATATCATTGACCTTCCGTATGATATGCGGGTTGGGAGATGGCAGGAAAACCGTCTATACCACCCCAAGAAAGGCTTCCAAAAAATTGGACACCTGGGACTGTCCGGGAATGATTGGGAAAGCAGCATTGCCTCTAGCATACTGGAAATATGTTTCTATTTTTGTTGGGGTTACCCAAAAAATGTTTCGGCCAAGTGGATGGACCCATTGAAGCAGTTTCTGTTGCTTCAACTTCAAGTGACTTCTTTCAACTTCCCATTTTTACCGGATCCATCTGAAGATACGGTTGAAACTACCGGCTGCAACTGGTGGGTTCATCGCAGGGGGCAATGTTTTCGTGGCCATCCTCTCTGACAGCGGCTTCTTTGTGGATTGGAGCAGCTTGTCCCGGGCGCCCCCAGGCGTTTTGTGGCTCGGACCGGTGATGAATTGCGGTTGCACCTTTGGGGTCTGAATCCCAATGTTGGGCAAAATATGGCAAAGTGTATGATCAATCCATACGGTTTTTTTTATTAAGTTCATACTCAGCTGGTAGGCCTGGAAGGATTGGAAGGCGGACCAGCTATGATGCTTCTTGCCTCAGTTTTTCTTTTTTCCATCTCGTTTTCATCTGGAAACTCCAAGGAGTTTCCCTCAGCTTCAATGGCTCTTCGAGGTGGGGAATGTTTCGGAGGCGCTCCCAGAGGAGCCGAGATAGGCTGGGGAAACCAGGTCATGGGCTACCCCTGAACCCATGGATTTTCTATGGATTTTCTATGGATTTCCATGACGTTCATAGGATTTTCCATTGTAAACCAACTTATAAACCACTCAAATAAAGTGGGATCCCCCATTTATATCCATTTATGGAAACCCTTTTTATGTAGGTTTATAACTTCAGCAACTGTTGGGTTCATGGTATATATCCACGGTTTCCGTGGGTCATAAACTATATAACTTGTAATTGGGGGGTACCACCTTGTATGTATGTATAATTGCCTAGACCCTCCAAGTACCTTAAATTAAACAAATGGTGTTTTTGCCAATTTTTGTTGTGGCACATGTAAAATAACCACACACACATTGTATATTTATAGATTAACTATTTGCAAATGGCAAACCTAATAATTATGATGTTTGGGATGATCGAATAGGGGCTCAGATATGGTCTACATAGAGGTTAAAATAGGGTCCAACGGAGGTTAGCAAATGGTTTACGGGGGTCTAACATGATTAAGTATAGATTACCAACTGAAGTTATGAGATATGATTGTGGGACTCACATGGATTAACTATCCAACTATCCATAGAAGCGATCTAATCATCATCAGTGGTTGCGATGAACCGACCCCCAGGAGATCGGGGATTCCCCTCAGACGGTTGAAACAGATCGGGAATTCGTCGCGCTTGAAGTTCTAATGATAACCATAGGGATTCGTTGTAGTATGATTGGTTTAATTAAGTTGTTGTTATATGTGGTAGATTGTGGTAGCTATTGGTAGCTTGTGACCAGGGATGACCACGTTTCAGTTCCACTTTTTAATCATCCAGCCTAGCGTGGGGTCATTGTTGTTATTAGACAAAATGTCAATCATATAATCTAGTCGGTGGTCTGAAAACTATTAAGATCGATTAAGTATTATTAAGTAGATTCACATAGATTGCTGTAGTAGGCTTGTTTATTGGACAATTTCATGTGTTTTGAGATTTTCTTACTTGTGCTAAACGTAGGGAATTTTCGGGAATGATCCACTGGCTAACTATCAATTTTTTCATCCTATTCCCCCAGCAACCCATCCATTCCCTACGTTTAGCACCAGTACCCTCTGGTAAACGTTCACATAGCTATGGAAAATCACCATTTTTAATAGGTAAATCAACCATAAATCACCATTTTCAATAGCAAACTGTTAGTCATTACCAGAGGCTAAGTTTTGGACACTTCATACATTGATCGCCATTGGACTCGCATGGCGTATGTGCACTCCTTAGGAGTGCCTGAAAGCTGGAGAGTCCTGGCGTTGCATGTTGCTCTCCAGCGCCGTGCCATATGTGGCCGGGCTGCACCTGAGATGATTTCCAGCCAAGATGGAACCAGGACATGTAACCTCTGGTAATTTAACGTAGCTATTGAAAATGGCCATTTATAGTGGATTTACCCATTAATAATGGCCATTTTCAATAGCTATGTTAAATTACCAGAGGGTAACCTCAATGGATCTAAATTTAACATGCATAAAGAACTTAAGTTGGAAAAAACCAGACGCAAAAAATATAAACGTAACGTTCAAGTGCATGGTCTGGAGGGTTCTGTTTCATTGGATTTTGGATGCCAGGATGGTTTGGAACGGTTAGAAGATGATTTCCGCGAAGTTGGACCTGCACATTTACACGATCAAATGGGTAAATCTGTGGCCACGGCTTCATGCCCATGTTCACTGGAAGTTTGACTCCCGTTCACCCAAACTCTCTAGCCACATCCGGCAATATTCAGCATATAATCAGGATGTCCTTGGAAGCTCTTTCTCCCACCATGACTTCCACCATGACAGTTGCAGGATCATCACAGTTAGAAACTGGTTAGTAACCCTGGTTAGTATGGACTTCCGAAAGCTCTCCGAGGCTTTTTCTGCGTGAAAATTCACCCAACAAATGCCAAATTCGGATCCGTGGGATGATCCTCCAAGTATCTCCATCCAAAATATCCATGATCCTACCATTTTCCATGGATGAAATCCCAAAAATCACCATAAATCCGACCCCACTTCCCGTGACTTCCCATGACTTCCGATGACTCCCAGGTCAAGACGCCCAGTTTCTTCCTCCAAAGCACCGTTGACTCCTGGCAATTGCGCAGCCTTGAGCCCTCATCGCTCGAGGCTTTGCAGGAGCGGATCCCGCGCTCGGATCCCGCTGAGGGATCCCATGTTGACCGGAAAAATCCGGAGAGTACGATGTGATGATGTGATGAATACCCTCTGGTTAATGGTCCAAACCATCCAACATTAATAGATGATTAGATTATATTAGAATATATTAGATGGTTATGACCAACCATAGTTTTCCATATAGTTTTTACCATTCATAGATTTAATAGTGGTACCACTATATAGTTACCATCTGGTTATGACTAACAGTTTGCCATGGAAAGATCCACCCATGTTTAATAGGTAAACCATCGATTTCTATGGGCCATGGCTTCCATGGCTATGTTGAATAACCAGAGGGTAAAGGATTTTTTTAGCCGAAGCAGGTGATGAGATTATATTAGATTTTGAGTTTGAGAAGTTTCAAGTATTAACTTGATGAGATTTGCACTTAAGATAGTCACTTACACTTCCAGATGTTCGTCACAGATTGTAGAAGGACCCCTCTTTTCCTCAATGCTTTGGATTCCAACCATTCACCTTGGCATACCTTGGCCGAGCTCATCCGAGCTCCACATTTTCTTCAAAGCAATTTCGTCCCGTGTCCCAACAATTGTTTGTTTTTTTTTGTGTGTTACATTCATTTTTGGACGCCAAACTGAAACCTCCGAATGAACTGATGATTGCACTGAAGAAGGATGTTGGTTTTCATCATGGTTGAATGACGTTTTATTAAAAAAACACAAAGTTTACATATGTTTCACTCATGGTTTCATGAATCACTCACGTTAATTTTCATCTTTCAAGCTGATTCTGCGATTTCCAGGACCAGCTGCGCCCGGCGCTGCTCCGCAGCCTCAACGCTGGCCGTGGCCGTGGCCATGGCGGCGCGGTGGATCACTGCGTGCATCACTGCGAGGCGTGGGGCGAGATCACCTGGGGAAGCATCAGCGGCTTGGTATTTGTGCATAGCCTGGGTGATTTATAGTGGATTTACCCATCAAAAATGGTGATTTTCCATTGTTATGTTGATGGATGGAGGGTTTAATCTCTGGTAAACGTTTAACTATATGGAAAGATCCAGCATTTTTCATGGGAAAATCCAGGAACTCAATGGCCATTTTCCATGGCTATGTTTGTTTACTGGAGGGTAGATTGTATGATTTTCATTGATTTCCCTTAAACAGATGAAAAAAGAGATGGAACATGTAATATGGAAAATGTCCACTCAAGTCGGGACAATGTACTTTTCGGCATCGTTTTTTGGCGGGCATGATTTTGCTAGATTGTCAATGGAGATATGGATAATAATATAATGATAATAATAATAATATTAATAATAATAATTATAATATATGCCAACCAACTCGAAAATAACTGCAGGGGTATCTAGGATTGTGACAGATTGATAGTTCAAGAAACGGGGATACCTGAGTTCTTCGAAGTTCTTGATTGGCGTACCATGATCTTTGGCATGTGGAAATATGTGGAAGTACCCCAATTTCTTCATCAACCAAGGTTGAATCCGGATTGACCTTCTGATGCCCTGTGTTTTCCGCCCGTTGGAGACCCCCATCACCATAGTGGCCATGGGTGTACCCTCTATCATAGCGATGGAACATCCTCCAGTTATAGATGTTCTGCCTATTCAACGTATGAAAATGCTATTTATAATCATTTATATAAGATTTTCCCGTTGCAATCTTTGATTTCCGGAAGGTACTAAGGGCTTTTTAAGCACCAGCAGCCGGCGAATTGGCCAGCAGCCGTATGCCCCCGAGGTAACCGTGATGCCTTTGAAGGATGGTACCGGAAGCGGTTGCAGCAATGGCACAGCAGCGGTTTCAATGCTAGCGTCTTCGACACTGCAGGGGTCACTTGATGGCAGATATGTTCTCGGAAAATATGATATCTGGCTGGTGGTTTCAAACATTTTTTCCATAATATATGGGATTTCATCCTTCCCATTGACGAACTCCATCATTTTTCAAGATGGTTATTGCACCACCAACCAGATATGGTCATATTATGTCAACTTTATGTCATATTTTTCGCCTTCGAAGCCCACCCTTCCCTTTCCAATCCTTGAAATCCTCGGGTCTCCGAGTTATGATCTCCAACAGTCCGGTGGAGCTGGGGACTGCTTGGGAATAGACCACGAAAATGGGATGGTCAGTTCATGTTAGTTTGCTGACTTGCAAACTCCATTTAAATTTCCACACTCTATACATCTCTATACCGTACTTGAAGGACATCCCACTTAGTATCCGCTTTTTTAACTCGTTGACCTGAAAATGAGCCTGGTGATCGTCCGAGCCGCTAATCTGCCGAGTTGTCCCACAGATGCTACTGTAATTTAACATAATTTGTCACTATGGTTCTTAGGCAGCTCGAATAAATCAACATCCAAAAATCATCGAAAATCCATACGAAAATCCACACGAAAAGCATCGACAATCATTCAAAATAATCCAAAATCCTCGAAAATCCATACGAAAATCCATACCTCCATGCCCCCGATCCCAACATATCACAAGCCCCCAGCTGAACTCCCAGGAACACTGGCCTCTACTCCACCTAGGAAGAGCTGGGCCGTCACAGTGCTACCCTGGACAGGAGGAACATCTACGATGGCACCAGAACTTGACACTGGCTCTGGAAAAATGCGACATGGGTAGATCATGGGATATTTTTGTTGGGAATCTCTTGGGAAAAACATTGGGGGACATATTGGACAATAACTTTAGCGGCTAAAAAAGTGTGGAATTCCATGGGTTTCCTGTATGGAAATCTACTTTGATTGTGGGTTCTCCAGATCTATGTTGGTGTACAGGATGGTCGACCATACCTGATATCAGAGGTTCAGATACCTATAGATTTGCTGAAGATTTCTACTTTCCTCCTGGTCAATCCATCATTTTTGGGGAATCTACCAGGACCAAGTTTCATTACTAGTTTCTTATAAGATAAACATTTTGGGGAATCTACAATCGGGTTATCTTATTAGGGGAGCTATAAGCTTATGTCAAACTCATGGTTTCCTGCATCCCCAGGACGCGCCATTCGACGTTGGACCAATCGCTTTGGAGGAAAACGCCGAAAACAAAACGGCGGCCCTTGGTGGATGGTTGGTTGAACATATCGATCATGATTAGTCATGATGGGTTCATGTGCTTGTAGCCATAAAGGATTGGTAATATGTGTTTGTATCTTATAATATTTTGATGTTATATATATATGGTCACCCCCCCCCTCTACGACCCCCCAATGTGTCATTTGTATTGTTATTTACAGCATATATATAATATATGGTCACCCCCCAAGAACTACTTCGCAAGCTATTGAATGGTGAATCAGTGCCACGAACTATTACGATTCGGATGGGCAACCTGTTCTCCGCAGAAGTCTCGGAAGTACAGCAAGCACCACGTTTACTGCCTGCGTCCGAGATGCGATTGGTGCGTAGAGGCAGTTTTCACAGCAGCATAAGACCTCAGCTTAGCAAAAGTGATGCTGCTGCGGCAGGGTCGACTCGTTGGTGACTTCAACGTGGTTCTGTGCAGACACAAGTCAAGCATAGTGAAGCAGATGGCGGGTTGAGGGGGGTCGTTGGGGGGGGGCTGAGCATATATATATATATATATATTGTTCACATCTATTCATAGATGCATAGATATTTATAGCCGGATCTTTCATTTGATAGCTACTAATGGGGGTTCATAGCATGATATTTCTGTTTTTGATAGCTATAAAAGGACTATTTGTTCATGTGCAACTATACACATGTATATATACTTTATATAATTATATATATACACACACATGTAGTAGATTGGTACGGGGGATAAAAAAGTGAGCCATATGAAACGCCATCACCATATATGTGTCGCCTTTTGTCGCTGGTGCCAGGTAGAGGCTGAGGAAGAAAACCAGAGGCGGGTAAAATTCCGCTGGTCGTTTGTGTCTTCCAACCGTAAAATGTTGCACCCTTTGGTAAACCAACATAGATGTGGAGAAGCGATAAGTTCCTAAGGAAAATCATCTACGCATGGTGGGGATATCGTGATGTATCCTGATAGATTGGGCACGGCACTTGTTACATTTTGTTGCTTTGTTGCTGGGGGTGCCGCTTCACCGTTAGCGGAAATTCGGCACTTCAAACAATCATGTTTTTTCCCCCGAGTGACACTGATCATTCGACACATCCATAAAAATTCCGTCTCCTTTTCTCCTTAAACCTAGCCATTTTCCATCATGAAATCCTTCCATCCGGTTCCGGTTTAAGTCTCGGGTCGTTGATTTCATCTGCCAGTGCAGGTTGACGGTCGTGTTTGGCGGCTTGGCTGAAGAAGCGTTGAATTGGGATCCACACGGGAGGAGCATTGAAAGGGCTCCAAGATATGTATGTCATTTATTTTGTTTTTTAAATGTTTGTTGGCTTATGTTTGAACAACTATCTGGTAATCTAGTGAATATATTGGATTATATTTTCATAGTCTATGATATATTGTTACTATATTACTGCACTATGTTCCGGTGGTGTCAAATATGTGGTCATGACCAGTCAGACCCGGTTTGCATTCATGGTAGTTGTCCACTGGTTTATCCTATGGGATCGTCCGAGATCGGTGAGTGAAATCATTTCGCTCTTTCCTACACTCCTAAACGCTTAGGGTACTCTCGAAATTTATCCCCAAACCATTGGTTTGCTCATGAAAATGACTTAAATGTTGAATGATTTTGGGGTTCCCAACAGTTGTTCAACAGCTCATTTCCCACTGGTGGATTAAAAGAGGCTTCCCACCATGTAAAGCAACCAATAGGTAGATGATAATAAACTTAAAAAACACAGTAAACACAGGCCCTGATCTTCAACATTTCCCGAACAATAAGGTGGTAAACTCAATCATCCCAGTGAGAGCGGGGTACGGTATACCTCGGTACACCTTACAAAAAACAGGTCAGAAAAACCTCAGACTTGGGGATGCTGTACCAAAAAGTTATCCCATATTTTATCCCATAATCCATATGAATCATTATGAATCCATATTTTCCCATATTGATTGCCCCATATTAGTCCACGTTAATCCATATTTTATCCCATATAAAATCATATTCATCCATATTTTCCAACGTTTTTTTTTTTCCCGAAGAAAACCCTGTTTACCAGGCAGTTTCTTTGCGACGCTCTTGCTGATCTTGCTTCTCTTTGTCATGCTGTGGATGAGGAACAGCCCGGGCCTGAAATCGGGGGTAGTGCCCTGAACCGGAGGAAGGTTCTCCTAAGAAGACATGGGGAGATTATCCAAAAGGCAACAGAACCGGGATGATGTAATTGGATATAATAACTATATATAAACTAACAAAATAACAAAATAAATGAATAGCTAGATAAATAGATTAATTAAATGAATATTATATATATATATATTAATATATATATATATGTGTGTGTGTAGGTTACATGTAAGCTCCCAAACAGATGCAGACAAGGTTAAGTTTGCTATTATTTTATCGCAGGGTTTTGCTGAAATCAATTGTTTTGGGGTGGCGGTGTGCTCTCAATCATCCAAATTCAGATTGTTTAGTATTGAAACCAAAGGGCTTAGGGTACGCCCATTTTGGACCCCCCATATCCCTGGATAGATTGTAGCCATGCAAGTTTTTCTTGTTTATAGCATACCTCAACTAACAGAGAACCTGCCAAAGGGTTTGGAAGACTACTTTCCTCAAAAACGTGATTCTCGGGATCTAAATGTTGGTTGGGGCATTGTAATTCTATGTTTTCTTAAACGCAAATTTGTTTGGGGCTTGGATGCGCTTAGACAGTCAAACAGCACCAATATCCCCTGCTGAAAGTTAGAGGGTGAAGATCATGACTATGTCCAACCACCAAGCAGATTTGTACACCATAAGATCATTCACAACCTTCAAAGCTAGCCACCACTGTGACGCAGCCCCGAGGCCATATTCGAGAGCGTTCTCGCTTCTCGGGGATGAAAAGGTGGATGGGGGGCTGCCGTTTTGTGGTATCATTCCTGGCCCATTTTTCGTGTGCTGTAAACCCTTGGTGTAGCTTGTTTAATGCGTGGATATTCATGCACAGATAGAGGCCCACCACAAAAAATCAGAACAACAGGTTTCATGATGTTTCATGTAGAGTGTAATTAGCTGTGTTTTGGCACAGGAAATCATACGAAATCCATTTCTCTCATGTTCATACATGGAAGCCATTCTGCATTTTCTAATGATATTCTAATCCCTTCACCCTAGTATTAAACACCTCCCAGAAACCATGGTTTAGGGAATTTACATGAATTTACACAATTTTTTGGACCATTAACCATGGGGGCGTTTAATAAGAGGGGGATGGGATTAATAGATTACCCTTTGGTATCCTTTGGTAATGTAACATAGCTATTGAAAATGGCCATTTCTAGTTGAATTACCCATTCAAAATTGGTGATTTTTAGTTTACCAGAGGGTATATTAGATTAGATGGATTACGAATCCCATTAATCCATATTAATCCCATTGGAATCTATGGATTAATGGGAATCTAATAGGGATCTCATGTATTAGATTACCAACATGTTCAAAGTCTTCACTGCTCGCACCCCAAGGATTGATGAGCACCATCGTGCAGCTGAATGAGGTGTTGGATTGGATGGTGAAGTCGGGCGAGCTCGGTGGCGTCAGTAATCGCGAAGTGAACGAAGTGAACTAGGTGAACTATGGTGAACTCGGATTGATATGGTTTGATGATATATGATGATATGTATATATAATTACATATATATGATTATATATGATTTGGAATGATTTGGATAGAACTATAGGTGAACTCGGATTGCTGATGAAAAAAAGTCTGGTGAAGTTCGGTGGCTAAAGCTCGACCTCTCGCTTGCCAATAAAGCGACTGGCATCGGTTGAACGGTTGAATCCCAATGAGGCCACCGTAGCTTCGCATTTTTCGTAGGGAAATCATCAGTCAGTGAGCCATCACCAGAGGCTACTCTCTGGTAAACTAACAGTTTGCTATTGAAATGCTATTGAAATGCTATTGAAAATGGCAATAAAAATAAAGGGTTTTACCCATGAAAAACGGTGATTTTCTATAGCTATGTAAACGTTTATCAGACAGAGGGTTTGTCATCCCATGAATAATCCCAGAGGGTATATCCCATTGAACCACTATAAAATCCTATTTTTTGTAAACTTTGTAAAGTCTTAAAATCTGTGAAATCACCGGGGAAAATGGTATGGTTTCGGGTTTTGGGTCATCCCAGCAGCTGATTTCCAGCAGATGGGATTATGATTCAAGGAAATGCTTGAAATCTTGCAGGCAAAAACACAGGATTTAGGGGCGTAAAACCATAGATTCCTGCTATGAATCCTGAGAAAATGGGATTATTTTTCGATGAATGTTCCGATTAGTGGAATCAATGCATTTTATTTCAAGATTGATCTTCATAATTTGTCGGTTCAATGGGTGGTGCTGGGGCTCCTTCGTGCAATCAAACTAGTGGCAGGAGCGGACCAAGATGATGCAGAAATTCATGGGTTGCCTGGAAGAGATGGGTTTCAGGAGTTTTCAACACCAATTGTCCTCCGGATCCTCTGGCAATCAAACATGGCAACGGAAAATCTCCCATTTTTCGTTGTTTTTCCCCATGAAATGACAAACATGGGGATGGTCGGATGGTCCATGTTTGATTGCCGTTCCGGGTACATCAAGTGACTGGAATGAGTTT